TTTGATCTCCTTGCTGTCCAAAGGTCTCCCAAAAGGCATTGCCAGCACCACAATTCAAAAGCATCTATTCTTTAGTGCTCAGCTTTCCTTATAGTCCAATTCTCACAACCATACATTGCTACTGGAAAAACCATACCTTTCACTATATGGCCCTTTGTCATATATCCCTAATGATTCCTTGCATTAGAACCTCTCATTCTTTTAGTTGGTTGTCTAAACTTTTGATATCCACCTATAGACACATGGAGCCAGGAGTTTTACTCCTGACTTCTTTATTGGATTGTGTGTCTTTTGTCTTACTTGCTCTTTTCTCCTTCACCATAGCTACCTCTCTATTGTACTGCATCTAGCTTGATGAATATACGTAGGCAGACTTCTCTTTCGTCTTTTTATATTGAACACCCTTTAGATTTGCAAGACACTTGGCAAATAACCTTCTAGCCTGTTAGGTACCCTCCATCCTCGTCCAGGAGACTGTCAACCCTATATTGTTAATTTATGTTCCAGAAATCCAAGTCCTATTTGATTCCTTGGCAAGTATTTCACCTTTAAAATGTTTTTATATTTTTAATATTTTTCTCTGTTGATGTAGATGTCTGTCACAGCAGTATAAATCAAGTATGTAGAAAGAATTGCCTTCTAATTTGAAGGATTCTATCCATTCTTAAAATTTCAGGAAATTATTGTGATTTATGATTCAGTATTTCTAATATTGTGGGGGCCATTGATGCCGATATGTCCTGATTTTTCCACACACCTTTGGTTTTTCCATGACCTTAGAGTTCTGTGTCTCCACTAAACACAAATGTCTCACAGAACCTAAGAGTTGTAAGGAAACTTACACAGGAATTTAATCCAACTCCTATCTTTCTCTGCAATTCTTTCTCTAACACAAGTCATCTTGTTTCTACTTATCTAGTTCTTCAGTAAGAGGGGACCTACTGCCCCCTAGAGGAATGCATTTCACTTTTGGAAAAAGTAGCTCATTTCTAAATACAATTTTTTTTTAAACTTCTGCATTCCCTGCCTTTACTGAGGAAGCAGTGAGGTAAATAAACCTTGTCTCCTTAATGGTCTTTAGTTCCTTATTCATGACTTCATAACCATTGGCAATAGTTTCTGGGCTCCTGACAGTATCATTAGTGCTCATGTCCATTACCAGAAGTTAACTATTTTGACAAATCTTGGATCTGTTTATTTCTTCGATCTATGCTCCAGGAAATGATGCAAACCTTGGAAATAAGTGACCACTCTACCTTAGGATTCATGACAGAGGAGAGAAAACTGGACAAAATGACATCCCTTATATTTTTGTAGAGCAGATATTAAAGGATTCAGAGAAAGAATAAGTAGAATCCTAGGGGCTAAATTCTGTAGGATATCAATTCAAAACAATGAGAAGCTACCAAGAATGAGATTCTGAATACTCAAGCAGAAAATTGTGTAAAGGAGAAAGGAAAACTGTCTAGATGTAGATATGTGATTCTTCGAAAATCTGAGTTGGTCAGTGACTTCCATGTGTAAGACCAAACCACTTTAACCTTTCTTTTGATTTTGGTTTTCTTCTTTCCTGTCAAAGAGAACAATCTCTGGACTCAAAAGGACATATAAAAACTAATAGGGAGCTGAAATCAAGATCATAGGTAGATAGTGCCTAGCTGCCTTTGATGAGTTTAAGTCACCAGGCCATATTAACTACATCCTAGGATATTAAAATCACAAGAGGGGCCATAGGATAGGAGAAAGGTAAAGTGTCTACTGGAATGCTCCAAGGGTCCTTGCTTGGCCCTCACTATACTGTTAAACATTTTTGTCAGTGACTTGGATAATGGTATAGATGGCATAATTATCAGATTTGCAAATGGTACAAAACTGAAACAGATAGCTAACAGGTTAAGAATAAGAATCCAAAAAGTTCTCAATAGTCTACAGCATTGGACTAATAATTATGGATTAATAATGGATAAATAAGATGAAATTTAACAGGGATGAATACAAAGTCCTATACTTAGGTTAAAAAAAAAAATCAGTTTCAAAATGCTATCCACATCCAGAGGAAGAACTGTGGAGTCTGAATGGGGATTTAAACATACCATTTTCTCTTTATTTATTTGTTTGTTTCTTCTTTCTCGTGACTTTTCCCTTTGGTTCTAATTCTTCTTTACAACATGACTAATGTGGAAGTGTTTAATATGACTGCACATGTATAGCCTATATCAGATAGCACACCAGGAGAAAATTTAGAACTCAAAATCTTACAAAAGTGAATGCTGAAAACTAAAAACAAATAGATAAAAAAATTTTTAAAGTCAATTTCACAAATATGAGATGGAATAGATGTGACTATACAGTTCATCTGCAAATAACATGGAGGTTTTTAATGGCCCTCAAGTTCAATGAGAGTCAGCAATAAAAAGAAAACCTATATGAAATCAGATTGTATTGACAAGTACAGTGTCAAGAACATTCTGCCCTGATTAGAACTTGTCCCGAGTATTGTTTTCAGTTCTGGGTATTATATTTTAAGAAAGACAAAACAAGAAAACATAAAGACAGTTAAGACTGTGAAGAACCTAGAGATAATACCTTAGGAGGAGGATGTGAAGGAAAAAGGGATGAGCCTGGAGAAGACATAGGAAAGACATTTTAGCCATCTTCAAGTGTCTTCAAGTATCTGAAGGTCTGAAACATGGAAGAGTGATTAGAGGAATCTTGCTTCACCCCAGAGGGAAGAGTGACAGATATACGGTTGATGTAAAGGCAAAACTTCCTAACAATTAGAGGCTGTATAGAAGTATAAATCTTCAAGCAAAGGCAGAAGGACTTTTGAGTGGCTTGGAGAGGGAATTCATGTTTAGGTATAGTTTAGGCCAGATAAACTCAGATCCCTTCCAATTTAAGATTCTATGAAATGGCTTCTAGTTCCCAATACCTTAACAGCCTTAAATAAACATTATTCTCCAGGGAATAGTGTATGGGGGACAGTTCTGGCTTGTGGAAATGTGTAGGAAGAAGATGGCAAATCAAGGGGTAATAAACTATATAGTTTGTCCCAAAAGTCTTAAGTGCTAAGCTTTATACTATTAAAGCTTAAAATTTTGCAGTTTTAGGCTATTATTCTGTTTACTTTGCCATTGTCAGCTACGAAAGCTTAAATCTGCACAAGTTTATGACAAGACTTTTGGGACACCCTGTATTACAGGCAGTAAACAGTTAGAAATCTCTAATCAAAATAATGAATTCTATGACTGGCTGACTTTTAATGACTTTCTGGATTAAATGCCATCTATAATACATTATTTCTAATTGTATCAACTTTGGGATTTCAGAACCCATCACCATGCACTTACAGATGCTCCTGGAAGTTGTCCCACCAGAAGAAGATCTCAACTAACATTTGATTTTTAGTACATCAAGCCATGTAATAGATGTATTTTTGTATGGAATATTTGTGATTATGTCTTCTTGATGTACACATTTTTTTCCAAGAGAATTTTTACAAATATTTGTAATATCTTTTTTTTTTTTTAAAGAGATCCACAATTCTCTCTTGGCCTGGAGTTTATAGGGAGGAGAAGCAATTGGAATTTGCTAAAATTAGCAAGCTAAGGAAGCTACTCTGCCCTATTGAAAATTAGGAGAGTGGTAAATAAAATGCCACAGTTGTGGTGGTGACTTATTTAACAAAGAGAACCATACATTTATTTAAAATAATTGTCAGTAAAGTAAGTTCCTCAAACTCAATGGTCAAATGCTTTTTGTATCTTATTTAACAAAATTTTATTTTCTCTAACACCTAACATTTTGCTTTGCATATACACTTGTTTGTTGAACATAGGATTCTATGCTTGAATTCAATTACCTTTGAAACTTTGTTTCAGAAGAGTATATTTGAAATCGAACAAATATTTCAGAAATTGTAATTCTGAAATAGTTCACCTAGTATGATATAGAGGTCAAGTCCAAACCCATTTTACAGATGAAGGAACTGAGGTCCAGAAAAAGTCTGATTCGATATTAAGTGGCACAGCCAGTGTGAACTATCTGCTTCCTTTAAATAATTTTTTTATTTCAAAGAGAATCAAACCAATAAGGGATTATTTATATCTATGTTTAACATAGTAACTAATCTGGATAATTGATCACATCTTGGTTTGTGTGAACGTCACTGACAAGCCATTGTTTCTAGTCTTACAGATCACATCAATTTGATATCTTATATTGACTTGTAGTCTCAAGTCAGTGGCTCTCATGGGCACCCAAATGCCCTTCATTAGCATTTGAAATAGATGGAGGAGAAAATTCCCAGGAATAAAATTTGACTTTTATTCCATTCCCCAACTTCCCTCTCCCACCCCAAATACACCCCCTTCATATGGTTATGCCAGTAAAACTAACTTTTACTCTCATAGATCAGCAACTATTCTCAAATTCCAGGCTTTCCTGGGGCACTGAGGCTAAGTGATTTGCCCAGAGACACAGGCAGTAAGAATCACATGTGACTGGAGCACAGACTCTTTCACTCTGAGACCTGCTCTTTAGCTACTACACTTTGTCATTAGTCAATGAAAATACTGTAAGAAGAATAAAAAAAAAAACTGGATGCCACTTTTGTATGAAAACAAGTACATTTTATTGATGACATATTCCCACTTCCCATTACAATGTGTAACTAAGACCACAGGCAACTGACATAAGAAACCATAGGACAAAACTCTGCATGCTATTCATCACATTAAACCATATAAGAGATGAGGTTTTTTCCTCCAAGAAAATATTTATCGTGGAACCTGAAATATAGAAGCCTTGTTTCCATTATTAAAAAGTTGTAACATCACATTTTACAAGTCTTAAATCTGTCAATAGTATATGTTCTAATACAAAAATAGCACTTGCACATTCCATACTTTTAAAATAAAATTATATAATTAAAAATCCTAATTAACCAACTGGTGGCTTTTAAAAATGTTTGAATAAAAAAAAAACCAAATAACAGTAACTTAACATTTATTTTTTTAAAAGGCCACCACAACTACTAGCTATTTGCTTTTTATTTTTTTAGGATTAAACATCTTTAGGTAGTTCTATCATTGGCTACAAAAAAGGTTTCATAAAAGAACAAAACAAAAAGAGGCAAACAAAAAGAGATACTACTGACAGAAAGCAACGAAATCCTACAGACTATTGGGTTATCTCTATGCACACAATAAGATAATTCACTGAACAAGGCTTATATTGTAATGGGCTGGTTATTATAATTCTGTGGGAATACAAGTTGTATAAGTATAAATTAATTTAAAGTCAAAAAAGTACTAAGAGACACTGGAGGAAGTACATGATGATATTGATACCTTTTACTTAGTTTAAATTCAACCATCAAAAAAGAAAATCTAAGTTCACTTTGAATTATATGTACCTACCTCCCTGACCCTCATCTCCATCACTCAATATACAACATCACTGGTAGGGGCAAAAGTCGATTCACTAAACTTTAAAGTTAACAAGTGGCAAAAGGGAAGGGCTACTATAAACACACACACAGAGCTGTACCTACCTATATGAAGTCAGAAAATCCCTACCCGCTCTGGCAAAAAGGGTTAACTTGATCTCATCATGGGAAAAATATCTTAACTTTGTTCTTAGAAATACTCCTTTAAAATGGTGCTGTGATTGTCGTCCTGAGATTCTTTCTCTATAAGTAGCCCATTTTACAGATGAGAAAACTGAGACACAGTTTAATTTCACTCCATCTCACAGAACAGTTGAAGGAAGAGTTTTGATTTTTATCAAACACACATATATTTTTCTATATATATAGTTTTGATTTTTATCAAACATACATATATATATATATATATTTCTATTACCAAATTTCATGAGGAAAGGACCTTGTTTCTTTCTTTTTGCTAAACAAAAAGGAGAATGCCTAAATACCATCTAACACTACTAGTGAAATGCACCATTCTTTAAGTCACATCTACCTTATAAATTTCAAATCTGTCTTCAGTTTTAAAGATCTATTTTTTCCCTATATGTTCAAACAGAAATGTGTGTTGTATTAATTAACACAAAAAACTTTAGGGAAGAAAATTTGGAGTGGAAATTATAAAACTTGAAAAGGAAGTCTACGATGTACATACATACTAAGTATGAGTTCTACATGTGCTTTCAACCAAATATGTGATCTTGATGACTTCAGTATTGCCAATTGGTTAAGAATATTCTGACATTCCTAGATCTTGTGAAATCTAAACTTCCTGAGTGTCCAAATCTGTCAGCCTTTGCAATCTCACTTAAAATGCAACCTTTCTTTGCTTCCCCATTTGGGGTTACTCTGTGATACATACACTCATGGAGCCCCACACAGACCTGATCACAGACCTGCATAGCACAAAGGATTATTTGGAACCTGTAACTTTTGCATTCAGAAAAATCTTCACTTTAGGACTTTCTTTAGGTATTTCTTTTAAAAACGGTCTGTAGATCATAAAGATATAACTTTAGGTCAATCCAATTTTCACCAGTGTACTTGAGATTAATTTAAAATTAATGATGTCAAAGTCATTAATTACACCTCTTCTTCACAAAGAGTGAATTTAGTGTTCATAAAGTGTACCACCGGAAAAATAAGCCAGTTATTTTAAGACTATTAAACTGTTTCGTACATACATATTAATGCAAACTGATTCAAACATCTACACCCTACAACAATAAGAAGATGACGATTATATACCTAAGGCCTAATTAATAAGGAAATAATGGGATCAATAAACCAGTTTAAAGTATAATTTTATGAGGTGAAAGCCTACTCATTAGAACAGAATTATAAATTTCAATAATTTAAGTAGGCCAATGAATCATACAAATTTTTGTTTTATAACACAGATCTAAAGTAAAATTAATAGGCTGAAAGTCTTTATTTTACTACCTGGGGGATCAAAATTTGCTATCTGCCAATCAAATTTAAACTTTGCCAGAGTTAAATGATATTGAAGAGGAGAAGGAGTAAAACAGAAGGTACATTATTAGCTGGGCATATATTTTTTCAACCAGGTAACCAATATCTATCACCATTCCTTAAGTAGCCAATGTCCCCCCCCATTATTCCCTTGCTATTCCCTTGATTTGGTCTCTTTATAAACTAACAACTAAGTAATTCTTATCATTAATAAATGAAATGACTACTTTTATAGATAATATGGTTTTTTTTCCTCAGATGTGTCCATGCATATCTTCTCAACTTGCAGGTGCAGTGACAGACACTGCTCTGTAAAAGTCTTCCAACCAGCATTTAATTTGCATGCTATTCACTCTCAGTTTCACTGTCCTCAGAAGAATCATCTATATCTTCGCTTATCTGCACACCAGTGTTGAGTACCTTTCTAGAGCACACAACTTAAAAAAAATTACACATAATTCAGTAAATTAAACACTTATTGGCTATGTCATAATAGGGAGCCAAGTAAGCTCAGTCAATGCTTTTCATATCAAAACATGTAATAGCACAATGTTTATTCTCCGGAATTCGAGCATGAACAATTTATGTACTGGTAATTAGATATTCTCTATTTATTAATAGATATATTTTATAAATAAATGGTTTATTCAATTATTTTCCTCAAGAAAAATCTTTTCTGTGCATAGTTTCATGTGTTCATTTCAAAACCTGAGTCAGTTAATATGTCATGCTAATAATGTAGAAATAAACGAACCATTTTTTATCATTATGCTTATTAGTACATAATTTCTTAAAGAAAAAAAAGCAAATCACTGAGCTAAAGGAACAATAAAGTTCACAGTATAGAAAAGCAATAAATAGCAACACTTCTCATTCCAAAACTAACATGTCAAGAATTGGATGTCCTGTACTCTTCAATTCCTGCACTTAGATTAGTCCCCATTTCTGTTTTTGTCTGAATTTAGCTGATTAATTCTAGCTTATAAGCCATCAAAACCAACCTTCTTCTCCACAGGTACAAGGAAAGTTTGCTTTATATGTAGCATTATTTTTAGACTAAATAGCTATATATTTATGACAGGTCATAAAACACAACTTGTCTGTACACCAATCTGGATATATCACAGATTAAATAAAGCATGTTTCTCAAGCATTATTATCTATTTTAAGAAGCCTGCTAAGAACTTTTTAAACAGCTCATTACATGGTTCTCAAACTAATTACTCAACACAGCACTGGAGTGAAAAAAGTCTCACTACATGAAACTAAACAAACTTTTATTTTAGTGGCCACAGAAGTGAGAGGTTTGTAGTATAGTAGGCATGATGTGGATTCCAATTACAATCCCAGTCCCAACTAGCTGTGTGCAGCTATGGATAAATAATTTTCCTCATTTGTAAAATGGAGACAATACCGCCTTGCACTAATTAACCTGACAGGTTTGTTTTGAGGAAAACAAAGTGTTGTATAAATCTGAGATATTATTCTTCAAAAGGAAAAAAAAATTACTCAAATTGTTAAAATCGTGTAGTGCATAAGAAATAAGAAAGGTACACATATCCCACTCTTGCTAAAAAACTATCTACTTGGCTAACAGAAAGCTTTCCAAACATGTTCACAACAGAACAACTATGTGGAAAAAAATGAATGTGAACTCTTATATGAATTGTAACAGAAGTAAAATGTCTCAGAGAGGTTTAAATTCCTAAAGGACCATACATATCTACATGTGACCATATGAAGCCATAATTTCTGATCGCGACTCACACCCCATCGCTGCTTCTGCTTTAGTCCCCCTGTTCTTGGCTTTGAACATATAGCCCAACTAGAACATACTATCTAATGAGAACTTTTTTCCCCCTCTAAAACTTTTCTCCTTGTTTCCTAATAATATAGTCTTACCATTAGAAAAGGGGCTTATATCTTCACATTCCTCCCAATGATCAAAATCGAAAGACACATTAGGATTCTGTTAAATATAAAATATAACATTAACTGAGAAAATAGGATAAATATACCTATAAATTATATATATATATATATATATTTATATATACACCCCAAGGATATTAAGACTTAAAAATCATTAAAATCTATTACCCTTTTCTTGAGCAAATTATGCCAAGATTCTTTTTTCTCTTTTACAAGAGTGACTATAGGTTCTTCATTCTTAATTAGACATTTGGATTCCTCTTTTAATATACTTGCATGTAGGTCCATATCAGCCAAGTAAAATTTATCTCCTACCCAAGCACTAAATTAAAAAAAGTAAGGTTAGTCTTTTTAACACAGTCAAGTGGTTCCAGTTTTTTTTTTTTTTTTGGTTAAAATACATATACAGGCCTACCTGAAAACCACCCTTTCTCTAAAAAATTTACATTTCTGATCTTTTACATTTCTTAGCCTTATCTTCACAATTACAACATCTTCTTTTTGAAACCATTTCATTGCTGGGTGGAAACTATGAGAGAGAGAGAGAGAGAGAGAGAGAGAGAGAGAGAGAGAGAGAGAGAGAGAGAGA